TCTGGCTGGAAGCGAAGCGGTCTCCGGTGTAAAGACGGCGAGAATTCCCCCCCCCCCCGCCTTGGAAAGCGCTCGTTCCCCATGCGCTGCGGTTCCAGAATCCCCCTCCCCACACACACATACAAATACAGGGGTTTGAAATAACGCGGCTCAGCGTCCTCCGAAGCGGGGTCTTCCGCCTCTTTCCGTCCCATTTTACCCCCCTCTCCAACGCCGCCGATGGGCTTTATAGTCCCGCGCCTCGGAGTAATGGCGCTGCGCGTGGAGGCCGCGGTGTCCACCCGTGTCTAGAACCTCCCCCCCCCTCCACAAGACGTCTCCCCACCGCGGGGGCTCTGCTTTCACACAACCGCCGTTTCTCGTGTGAGCCCGCTTCTCCGATGACAAGAAGCACCCAACGGGAGACCCGGCTGCACAAAAGCGGATCGTGTGAACGCGATCCATTTCAAAAGGGCAAAAAGAGGGGAAGGGAAAGCTTTCAGAAGGAAACCGAATTGAAGCCGGATCAAATCCGGTGCAAAAAATTAAACCTCTGATTTAGAAATACAGTGAGAATCAAAACTTCGCCTGGCCCAGCTGCGTGTTTTCCCAGGACAAATGCCACAGGTTCGCGAGAGACGGTCGCCTGACTCCGGAGAAGTCCGGACCGGAACCGGGAGGGAAGCAAGTCATGGAGGAACGACCGACGGACCGCGGGGATCGAAAATGCAGGGAGAAAAATGGAAGTCCTTTCTTACAAACGCCTGTGACTGGCGTTCATATAAATACACGCGTGCATGGACACACACGATAAGAAAAAGAGACCCAGGGAAAATCCCTGGTGTTGGGGAGGGGAATCGATTAAAAAGCCGTGGGGTCGCGCAGATGCATAAATATCTACCCCCGCGCGTTTGTGCAAACCTTCAAGGTGCTTTCACACGTGCACGCGCGCGTTCGCAGAGTTCTGGATACACGCTTTGGTGCCTAGGTGCGTAAGTACTCTCGCGAGTATGTAAAGGCACTCAGGCAGAAACATGCGTGTCTAGATGCATATTTGCCTGGCTTTGAAGTTACGGCGCTGAACACGAATATACTTTCCCAAATCTTTTTCTTCAATCAAGGGTCAGGATGTTGTCCGAATAGAGAAAATATACGGTCCCCGTATACGGCGGGGGAGGCATACGTAGCTCTAGACACTCCCATGCCCCCATAGGCATCTAGGCATCAACACGTGTATCGATCTCTGCACACACATGTGTGAAAGCAGATTGAAGATGCACCCAAACTTGCGCGTATATGACTGTGCACATCCACAGCTTTTTTTATTTGTTCCCCCAGACGCCAGTGATTTTAATCGGGTCTTTTTTCTCCACGGATGTGTCTGTGCACGCGTGAATTTGTTTGAACACCGGCCACGAAGTCGTACGAAGCATTTTCTCTCGAGAAACTCTGTAAGGAAGGATCGTAACCGAGGTCCCCCCAACCTCATCGGCCTACATGTGCGAGGAGATTCTTTGATCATTCCCACCGACCAACACACGCGAGGTTGCGTTCAGACGGCTTTTGTGCCCACCACGGTTGGTGCTGTTTTCTTCAACAGCATCCTAGACCGGAAGGTCGGACTAGATAGAAAACTGGAGGGAGGGTGGGAGGGGATGCTCCCAGTTCTCCCAACTTCGAAGCGCCTGATTCCAAAGGATCTTTCTTCCAATGAAACCGGATTGAATCCGAATTCGCACAGGGAAACGAGCTGACGACTGCTCCCCGCTTTCTAAAAAAACTGCATTTCTTAATACCTGCGTGCGGGTCTCCCCCCCAACTCCTCCCCCCAGTTCTCGTCCACAAAAGAGACCCCTCCGGTTCGCCTTGGCTGAAATCGAATCAAGTTGGGCGCTTGCAAAGAAAACTGGCTCAATCCGGATCATAGAGATTAACCACCTCCGACCGATCTCGCTCCGTAGTCACACCGGAGTACAGCAGACCAAATCTAAATTCCCCCGGCTTCACCCCCATCGCTTCTCCCAAGCGGGTAAAAAGCCCTCTTCCCCCCGGGACCGCATTCACACGACTCGTTCAACCTGCCCCGTGTTGAATTCGCCCAAAGCGCTTTCTCCCCTTTTCTTTCGTTGGGAGCACCTCCAAACGAGCCTGTTTTAAGCAAGTGACGCCTTGGGCATCCGCACCAGCCGCGTCCATCCCCTGCGCTGGTTTGGCGTTTCGTGCGAACGCGACAAGCGTGTCAAATTTGGAAGAGGGGGGGGGAAGAGACAAGGTCGCGACCGACACCGTCTCCCTCCCGGAACGTCTGGCATGGATTGAGAACTTCCGGAACGCCTCCTGTTCTGTGGAACTGTAAATAAATTCCCCAGTAGGGGTGGCAAGGTTGTTTTTTAAAAAAATAAATAAATAAACAAACAAACCCTCACATCTCGATTTTTGCCACCGCTTTCAATGCACAAGAGTTGGACCTACGGAACCGAAAGGGGGTGGCTGGGAGGCTCTGGGGTCTTTAAAACCAGACTGCCTTAAAATCACCCCCATTTTTATAGAGGGGGGGGCAATACATGGAGACCATACCCCGAGAATTTCACTCGCTCCATCAGTGCGTTATCCACCTTCTCCAAAATGTAATTCTAGTTTTTTTTCCCCCTTCCTTTTACCTCTTTCTTTCCTTCTCTCCTTTATTTCTCTCCCTCCCTCCCTCCCTCCCTCCCTCCCTCTCTCTCTCTCTCTCTCTCTGTTTTTGCACCCTGCTCAGTTTCACACACACACACACACACACAGACGGGATTGTGGGCCAACGTGTCTTTAATTGGGTATTAAAAAGAAGCATCTTCTCGGAAGTAGCTCAGTCGCTCTTCTAGCGTGTGGAACAGAGGCAGACGCTACTTTGCTCCTCGCTCTGCTGGCTGATTTTCTGAAAACTTATTTTCCTGTTAAATATTTCTTTCTTTTTTTAGCTTGGCTGCGGCCTGAAAGATTCCCTCTTACCATCCCACCCCCGCCGTTTAAAAAAAAAAACAAAAAACTCCGGGGGGTTGGAACCGCTCTCCGAAATTAATTCGGGGTGATTTATTTCAGTTTTTTTTTTTTTTTTTTTTGCGTGAAACTTTGAAGAGAGACGCCGAGGAACAGTCCACGCAAGAGGGAAACGGAGCTACCTGTTGGGGCTAATTTTATTTTATTTTCAACAAGGGGTGGAGTAGTGTTTTTTTAATTCTTCCCCGGCTACCTCCTTGTTGTCGCCGCGCGCGTGGAAGGAGAGAACATTCCTGCAATTCCTGCGTTATTCTTTTATTATTCTCCTGACTTTTTCTCCGACTTGCAACTTTTTTTTTTTTTTTTTTAAAGCAACTTTTCCCGGCGAGGAAAAAAAAATGTTCTTTTTAGGATATTTGCTGTTTATTGGCGGAATGACTCGTGTTCTTTCGAGTTATCCCATCTGGTGGTAAGTTGGTTATCTAATTCTTTAATATTTCGGGGAGGGGGGAGAGAGAGACCCCCTTTTTTGACGAGCCTAGCTTGGCCAGAAAAGGTGCGCTTTGCCGTTTCTTATTTCTAACCCGGCTGTCGGGGACTGGGTGTCACTGGGCACCTAGCGAATTGCGGTTCCTAAGACGGTTTTAAGACCTAGGCATTTTTGCATCTTAGGTTTCTCCAATTCAGTGTTTGTTTTGACTGGATGAGCTCAGTTTTTTTTCTAAAAAAAGACATTAAATAGAAAGGGGGGGGATCTGAAAAGCTGGGGAAGGGGATGAGCCGCAGAAGAGATCCGTTGATTTTTTTTTTTTTTAAGGAATCCAGTTTTGATGCTCTCCTGAGCGAATTAAATCCAGATACAAGCCGCTTTTTAAAAAATAATAATAATAAAAACCGTGATTTTAACTTAATTATAGTAAAAAAAAAAAAAAAGGAACCAAAATGATTTAATGTTTTTTTTAGAAGCAAACCAAAGGGGTAGGTAGAGTAATGCGGCTTTGGGAAGGAAAAGTAAAAAATGCCAGAAGCGTAAAAAATAGAAAATATTTTCTCCTTAAGAACACGTTTATTATTATTTTTTTCTGCGTCGTTTCCCCCCCCTCCACTGTTTAGGAGATTAGCTTTGTAAAGGGGGGGTCTTCTCTCATCTTCACGCACCCCCCACCCGGAAAAAAAATACGAAAACCCCCTTGGGAAAAAAAATGCAGGATTTTCTTGCTGTATGTAGTTCCTGTCGATCTTTTTTTTTTTTTTTTTTTGGCTAAATGGTTGAGAATCGGTAGGCGCCCGGGCTTGTTTTTCTGCCTTCTGGCTTATAACTGCAAAT